AGGGTTTAGGGTTTGGGGGCCTAAACAAATACCTAGCCTTACATGATTTTGAAAGATTCCTGTTTATCATTATAATAAGGTTTTTGTTTTAATATAGGGTCCTAAATACTTTGGGGGTTGCTTCTGATAATTATAGTAGAATGGGCCCCAAAACCCTATTCTAGTTATTAAGGCCCAGCAAGCTCGCAGGGTCATTTAGTCTAAAAGTTAGTCGGGCTTACCGTCGTGGCCTTAATACAGTAAACAGAATAGGGTTCCTTTACCAGGGGTTACTATAAGGGTTTAGGGTTTAAGAAAATTTATGTTGAGAGGGCTTAAGGATTATAATTTTTGTTTAGGGTCTTATAGGGCTTCAGGAATATTTATTTCTTCAGGGTTTAGGGTTTAAGGGTTTTTGTTTAGGGTTTAGGGTGTAGGGGTTCGGGAAAGCGGGGCGCTGCGATGGGTCGGGTCGGTTGAGATCTTCAGGCTTTGGGGCTTGGTGCTGGCCTTTGGGACATGTCATAGTTGTCTTTCCTTGTTTGGGCTTAAGTTAAAGGAAACTACAGCTGAAGAGTTTAGGGTATATAGGGCTTCTATAAGGCTTCCATAAGGTATATAGACCTTCTATAAGGCTCCTAAAACGGCACCTACCCACTTGAAAATGTCCTAGATTCAGAGGGTCTTATTTGCGAATCTTTTTCAGAGGCTTTGAGGGGCCAACCTAGTGATACTATCCAAGCTAAGCTACTGTTGGCCTCGTGTGTTCATTGGTCGAGGAGTCTGGCTGCCCGGTAAGAAACACCTCCCGAAACCCCAAATCAAACCCTTAAATCCTAAACCCTAAACCCTAAACCGGGCGTTTTAGGGACAGGGCTCTGGAGTTTAGTGGTCTACCTTTCAACTTTCTATGGCTTTACAAATTCACGGGGCTTCTCCATGATCGTGGAATCCAGAGCTGCAATAGCTGCTTCATTACTTTGTAGGTAGTAGTAGTAGTAGTAGTAGTTGTAGTAGTAGTAGTAGTAGTAGTAGTAGCAGTAGAGTAGGTAGCCTTGAACCTTGTTGAGGTATTATAATATATATATATATATAACCTCACCCAGGATACTGAACAACGAAGATCAGCAGAGGCTTCCCGGCGCAGCATCAGAGTTCGGTGAAGCGACAGCTGGGTGAAGCCATGACCTCGAAGTGCGGCGTGCTGTAAGGCCCTTTTGAGGCTTTGCATGTGGCCTTCTTTCATCACACACCAGCAACTACTGCGAGTCAATTCGTTCGACAGTGGGATACAGTTGATAACATAATTACTCGCTCTATTCTCTGTGTATCATGAACTCTAGATCTAGATCATAGAAGAAAGCCTTTGCCTGAAGGGAGCTAAACCCTAAACCCTAAATCCTGAACCCTAAACCCTAAACCCTAAACCCTAAACCCTAAACCCTAAAGAGCCCCGACGCCTCGATTTTACACATTTAGCCCGGCCTGGAACTGAACGTGAGGCTCCTAGAGCGCTCCTGAGTAATCCCTTAGGGTTTAGGGTTTAGGGTTTAGGGTTTATCCATCTTGGCACAATAGGAATTCGCGTAGGAGTTCCATATCTACATGTGTATATATATATATATATGCAGTTAGGTAGTAAAACCCTAAAATCCTGAAGCCTAAAACCTAAACCCTAAAACCCCAAATCCCTAAACCCTATAAAACCCTAAATCCTAAGCCCTAAACCCTATGCCCTAAGCCCTAAACTCCTTTTTGAGGTTACCATAGAGGATCTAAGCATCTAATCGGCTAAGGCACAAAGGAACTACACTGGAGACTACAAGTAATGTCCTGGCAACCGATCCCCATCCGACGGAGAGCGACTTCGCACCGGCGCGCCCGGAGCAAAAGAGATTGCATCCTTAGGGGTGAGGGTGTGTGGCTTTTTATTTTGAGGGTGTAGAGGGATTTAAGGTTTAAGGTTTAGGGGCTTAGTGCTTGCAGGGTTTGGTTTTGGGGTTCAGGGCTTACAGTGCTTGAGTTGAAGGCTGTGTTGAAAGGAGCAGCGGTGCCAGAACTCCTGTTTCACGGCCTACTGCACGATGCCTGCTGTTGTGGGTTCATGACTTAGGATTTAGGGCTGGTAATCTGGGTATCTCAACATCTGACGTACCCTCAGTCTGAAGTGTCATAGAAGCCAGGCCATGAAACGCGTCAAGTTTGGGGTGCGCATTGCCGATTGCCAATCCGAAGACGTCATGTGACGGCCAAAACCCTAAAGCCCCCTAAACCCTAAACCCCTGAACCCTAAACCCCTAAACCCTAAACCCCTAAACCCCTAAACCCTGAACCCCGAAACTTAAACTACAGAAGCCACAGGGCAACCCAAGAGTCCTTCTGGGTTTAATTGTAATTTTTTGGAGGGTTCCTCTAAACTCGGTGACTCATATGTTGAGAGTGACGTGCCAGCTCTATGACTCATGTTAGAGCCTGGCGTACTGCACCTATTCCGGGATCCAACGTGTTTCAAATCCAGCCAGAAGACGGCAGGAGCTGGAGAGAGCAGAGCGCGACGAAGCGGTGTCTTGGTGCAACTTATTTACGGTAAGCCCTCGAGCCCTCGAGCCCGATCTTCATCAATGAGCCTGGAACCCTTGGCTTAAGAACCTTGATCTTGAAAGTTGAAGCTTGTATGGCATGGGGGAACTAGTGGAAACTCTGACCAAAAAAGGTCGATAGACTTGAGCCTGTGAGCTGAGCCTCGCGGCGAGTCCCCTGCACTTGTCCCCGCTTGTTTTGAAGCTCACGGGTGTAGATTTCAGGGCTTAGGGTTTAGTCGTTCGAA